TTTCTTTCCGCTTACCATTGATGATTAATCCTATAAACTCTCAAATGTTTATTATGAGTCGGTCCCTGTATATTTTTAGTTCTTTAATGTCCTTATTTCATGGCCAGATTCACATAAGGCAATTCCAGTAAGCTCTTTTCCCATTGGCACCAACAGAAAGCGTACATTTGTGCCGCTATAATGTCTGGGCTCTACACATGGACCTTGAATTTTCCTCCTTCCCTAGGGGCCGCAGTGAGACAGGGCAGCTCTGTCTCCCCCTGTCCTTTCCATGTCGTCCTGTTTCGACTTTGATGTCCCCCTGCCAAGAGTCTGATTTGTGGGTTGGCCGTGTCCTCCCCTCCTAGCCTCCGAATCCACAGAACATGGGGACGCAGTGGGAGTTCCCAATGTTTTGAGGAGTTGGAGTAGAGAAAAGAAGGGGGAGGTTGGGTCAGACCACCACAGAGCTGGGGAGACCCCTGTCTTCCTCCTCGCCGGTTCCCACCGCTCCCAACACGGCACACACATGTTGAAAAGGTCAGGTCTTGATAGACAACAGAGCACCGGCAATTACGCTGCTATTTCTCAGTGGCTGGAAGTCCCCCGTTTTTTTCTGTGAGTGTGTGTGTGTGTAGAAAGAGAGAGTGTTTTTTTTGTTCATAGAGAATAAAGAGGCAGTGTTTTAAGGGGAAACGGAGCTGGGACAGGGGGAACTGCATGTAAGGACTTGTGCCCGTATTGCTTCATGTCTGTCTGTCTGTTCATTTGTGGAAATTGAAGAATGCGCATGAGAGAGTGCAGGTGTGTAGGTGTTGGTTCTTAAGTTGGTCTGTGCTTTTTAGTTTCCCACCCAAACAGTTTTTGTGTGAGTGTATGTGTAGGTCTGTTCTGACCTGAACTGCAAGTCTGATTTTGTGTTTTCTAAATCTGATTTCTTCTCAAAATCTGGAGCTTTAGCTGGCTGTTTTCTATACTGACCGTACTGTTGTGGTGGGAGGCTGCGGTCAGGAGTCCATCTCTGACCTAAATGACGGGGTCAGACTTTGGAGACTGCAGGAACTCTATGTTGAGGTTGCGAAAACACACACATGCAGACACACTCGGATTTCTTCCAGCGTGCTCCTAGTATTTTCTGTCTTTGGTGTCATTTCTCCTTCACACCGAACACCTATTTCTAGCTCTCTAAGGATGGCTTTCATGGAGGAGTGCAGAGTGAAAAAGTCAAGGCAGAGTTATGACAAGAGCCGACCGCAGTTTGACAGATCTGGAGATCACACGGAGAGGATGCCGCGGTCCCTTAACAACTGAAGTGTGCTGTTGTAATGTATAATGTGTTGCAGCTGGAAGTTTGCCTTGCATGCCTTGTGCCACCAGCTTTGTGCATTTATGTGTGCCTGGGGCATTCATTTTAATCCCAGAGGTGGACTCGACTACGCAGTTGTGACTAATGAAAGAGCAATTTGGGCATTGTGCCCCTGGAATGCCTGCACACCTATAGTGCCTGAAATAAAAAGGGGTCCAGAGGGGTGCTGGGAGGCCCCACAGAGCACTTCATTCAGGTTGCTATGCATGTTAGAGAGATGAAGGCCTGTAAATGGCTGCCAGTAATCGTCTCTATAAAAGAGCAGCTGCGTCCAGTTGTAAGTACGGCTGCTGTATTTGGCCTCCCTCCCTGCTTAATATTCAGGTGAACAAGCAGCAAGGGCAAGTCTTTCTCAGCGTTAATGTGTCTATGAGCGGGTGCTTGTTTATGTGTGGAGGTTGCCCTGGATATGCACTCTGCTCTGGATCATTTCCAGGTCCAATCTATATCGCTACTAGCCTCTGGAACGCACCTTTGCTCCTGGGAAATTTCACCTGAATTACCTACCCATGTGTGTTTTTGTGAGTGTGCGTACGTGAGTAACCCAACCATAAATGTTACCCCTGTTTGTAATGGGCCTATTACAAGGCAGAAGCTTGTGTCAAATAACACACAGTTCCTCACTTAAAACATCAGCACACAACCCACTAATGGAATCAACTTTGTCATCATAGACACTGATGAGTTAGTTAGGGCTTTAGTTAGGGGGGCCTAATTCTACCCTGAGGAGGAGGGAGGAGCTCACTGTGAAGTCGGCAAAGGACTTGCTCCTTGTGTCCGTGACTCATGCATGCTCATGATATGACTGGGTGGTGCTGGGGAAGACACCAGGTTAGACCTGTGTTTGTTCCTCTGTTGCAAGGCAATCCAATCCATTTTTGACATTATGAGGTGTCATAGAACGGGGATGCCCAGTGTAAACTATGTAATGGCTGTCATTGTAAAAAGGAAATATAACAGTTGTAAGTACTGTAACCTTTGTGAGTATGAAGCTATCAGCATGGTGAGTTTCTATTGTCAGCACTGCTATCTTTTTATGGTTCGCCAGTTCACTGAAGTTTGAGATTCTTTGCTTTCGTTGCAGGGTCAGAGTTCAGCAACACTGGGATTAAGTTGAGATGGAGTTGTTGATGATATTACATGTGGTTTATTACACTTACTGTACAGTGATACCAAATTGTTTAGCTTTGATCCAATAGGTGGCAGGACTGTGTTATACTATTTATATTACATGAATAGCAAAGAAAAAAGCACATTTTCAGGCCCATTCAGGTAAAGCAAGGTGAAGGGTATATTCAAGGACAATATAGTGCATTTCAATTGTTTTATTGTATTATATTTATTGAATATATTATTTTTCCCTGGACAGTGTTTGTTGCATTGTACTATGTGGTCAATAAGCCAAACCAAACCAAATTATAAAGTGATATGGATGGGAGTATGCGAAAAATCACATGTTATATAATATGGGACAAATGATCATGCTTAACATCTTTTCTTTCTAACATCATAACTAAAAAGTAATCTTTATAAAGACCATGAAGCTGATCTGAAACTTAAAATGTGTTTTAGTAAAATAAAACTGTCCCAGCATGAAGATATTTTTGCTCACAAGGTCAAGACTCCTCAAATGACCACTACCTTCCTATCATGGACAGACGGACTAAGAGGCCCACTCAAATTCTCCAAAGACAACTCAACTCATATCCATTCTTAAAAATGTTCTCCTTTTTCCTATGCTTCTCTCATCGGGAACTATGTGCGGCCTTGGGGGGAAACGGGAGTCATCGCCTCACTCGGAGAAGTCCTCTCCGCAGAATCTTTTATGGCTGGATTTACTGTGCACCAGCATTTAACGGAGTTAATGTTGTTAGGTACACAGGCCTCAGTTGCCAGTAACCATTTTGCTAATAGCTTATGCAGAAATGCAGGAGGGAGAGAGAGAGAATGATTTTAAAGTCTTGTTGTTTTTGTATTTCTTCTTCTTCCCCCCATAAATGTCAGTCCAATGAGAATTATCCCCTTTGCGTACTGTTCAGTTTTCTCTCGCTTGTTTTCCCCAAATCTAACATTCTCATCCTCTTACAGTATATTATTCACATGACTCTCATGTGTTTCAAGCTCAAGTTTAAGATGATTTTCTTCTGAATAATCAGTTTGAAAGGACCATTTATAAGCATTATCACCAAATACACAATGAAATGAAAGAAAGGGAAAGACGCAGCATCATCCTCCCTCGCTAGTTTTCCCCTCTTACTCATCTCTTACATAAAAAGGAAATCACTCTCTCCCACTGTGTGGCCTGCTCTCTCATCTCTTCTTCTGAAGTTTCCCACCATGATGCAAAGTGCACACCTACAAGACGCATGATTCCTTTATTCAGACAGTAGGGATGCTCATCCATGCAAGGCGGCTGACCTGTGATGTGACCACACTGTGGGATGTGATGCATCTGCCTGTCAGTGGTGTGTGTTAGTCATTTTGCCATAGCATCATATACCTTAATGCACACAGTTACTCATACAGGGGAGGAATGAGCGATTAGTGCAGGAAAGTTAAAGATAGGAACAATGTTTAACATAAAGGGCTTTAGTAGGGACATTTGTTATTACAATATAATTCATTTTACAGGACTCGTACCATCCTAAAATTAACTTCACAGGCGCATTCAAAAAGTTACATGAATTACTCATCCAGCTGGTGGTGTGTTTTCTGCATGCAGTGTTTCCATCCCAAGCGGACTCAGGCGGGCCTCGTGCTATGTGATCCAGTTGAATGGACAAGGTGCAGGGCAGACCACCTGGTCCCTGACCTGACTCCCTGCTGATTGTCACCTCTTGCTGATAATGTGCGTGCGCACTGTCTCTGTCTGAGTCTCCTGCTCCTGTTGGTATGTCTCGTTTATCAGGCCTTCAGGCTCCCCTCCCAGACCTCCCAGCACAGCATAGCCTCCAGCTTCTTCACAACAAGTTAAGACCAGAGTGTTGTTAACCTGCTGTTAACTAGTCATTTCCTGTGTCCCAAAATCATGCCCACACACATGGCCTTTAAATGGTTATCATCCATGTCATAATTCAGTTTCAGACGTGTATACATATTTCTTTGTACTTGTAAATGTTCCGACATGATACATAAATGGGTTATTCTGCCTTAAGGCACACAGAGAGCTTGAGTTACTATCTAATCATGAGTCATCCCATCATCACTTCCATGATAAAGATTATCATAATTGTTTCCAAATGTGATTACTTCCTGAAAATAACCATGATTTACACTAATACAAATGTATTAGCTGCCCCTCGTTTTTTATTCAATCAGAGCTCATTGTTAGCAACAACTATGAGAACAGTGACACATCCTCATCCTCACTTTTTTGTCTCATTTTGCCCATAATCATTGGCCACTTTTGCATCCTCTCCAAAAAGTGGTAATCAATATATGTAACTTGCAAAAGGACACACACACACACACACACACACACACACACACACACACACACACACACACACACACACACACTGGCTGAGGGGGGATGGGGACATGCTCTCGAGTCTTAAGTCATCCACCCAGCCAACCAGCTCCCCTCGCTGAATAACGCAGGATCGCAGAAACGCGAGGGGAGGCGCAACGGGCACGGAGCTGCTGGCTCTCTATATCCAGCGGCTCAGAGGCGCTCTGTCTCCATTCACTTCAGAGTCCCACACACTCAAGGACCTGTGCAGACTGCTGCAAGACACGCTCTGAATAGCAGCACTACCCGGACAACTTTCTCCCTTGTGGTTTTCTAAGAGGATCTGCTCGTTTGGATTATATTCTTCTAGGACTATTAAACGCTATTTTAGAAACAGTCGTTGGTTTAATTATAACAGCTGCGCGTCTTTTTTGATATTTCAGTGAATCGGACTTAAGTTTTAAACCTGTTTTGTAGATGGTGAAGGACAAGTGCAATGCGCTTCAGACTTGTCTCTTGGGATTGTCCCACTTTCGCCTAAGGAGCTATGTCGATCTGCCGCACTGATCTTGTTCAAGAGGACGCAGTCCAATGTGAATAACAAGAGTCAACTTCCAGCCTCTTCAGATTTTCACAGCTTCAAGCAAGTGCAGCACGGAGTCTGACTGAGCCCGCTGACACCCTGATTTCTGCCCCCGAGGGGATGGTTGTGGATCCTGTGGGGCCAGGAGCGATTCTGCGGCTCCTACAGAACAGCACATTTTTCTTGTTCGTGGTTAGATCTAAATTACAGGGAGATGAGACCCGCACTTTGTTACTTCCTGCTGTGGACGACGTACCTGCTGCTGGCCAGCTCTGAGGTAAAGTTAGCAGAGTCAGAGAGGTGCGGGGCCGGGTATTTCTGATCCCTGGTCACATACAGTGGTGCGAGGTTTTATTCCCGGTAGGGTCTAAAGTTCCCACAGAGCGTGCATTTTAACAACAGCTACACACACAACTCGGTGTGAAGAGAAGGAAACTCCTGAGCAATAGGTTTGGTCGAAATCCTGTGTATTAATGATAGGATTATGAGCCTGAACGCAGCATTTCTTTATTTGAATGAACCTGTAACCGTTTCAAGCGGTCTTTTCTAATATAATGAAAGGGTAGTTTAGACTAAGAGGCTATTATAAGAACAGTGTAAGATATTGATTTATTTCTAGAGAACATGAGGGTCAGTGAAAACGCGCTTTTGAGAACCAAATCGCTCCTGCACTTGGAAGCATATCGCAGTTATTTTTGTCTTTTCTGCCAAATCTGTTTGTAGCCTGAGCCAACTGGGCAAACGTTTTGGTTGGGCTAAGCGCCTTCATGGGAACCGCTCCGGGCGATATAAATAGCCACTGTTCCTGTAAGGCAGAGCGCTTTGCTAAACTTGAGGTGCTCGCAAGACCGCAACAAGTGCAAAAGTGTCAAGCTACTGTTCACACGGGTTGACGTCCACCCGATCCGTTTAACATTCACAATTGCTTAGAAATCAGGCGGATTAATGTAGCTTCACTTATCTACATGGAACAGCATTGGTATAACAATAGCCTAAGTCATGTCGTCTTGGGGATCGATCCCTTTAGCGTACACTTTTTAATACAGCATCCAATTAATGATCAAGGCAGGAGATTTATTAAACACGTTTAATTTACATGACCATTGCTCTGCATGTCATGTTTTGAATGGATACATTACAGGGAAATATAGCTTATACTAGGCTGATCTGGGTGCCAAAGTAAATCCTAATTAAAAAATAGATGATATATATCCCCCAGCCATACAGCTTTTCTCATTTCAAAAGTATAGCATAATTAATCAAAGGTAGGCGCCACCTTCTCTCCATGTGTGAGGAGATTGTTTGATAGTGGGTTAGATCTGCTCGTTGTAGTTGGCACATAGTTGCAATGTTGTTCTACAGTGATCTTTCTGGTAGTTGTTTAAACTCAGCACGTTTACTTATACAGGCAAACAATTCCACAAAGTTTTGCCACCGACCCGACACATCTCTAACCTTCATCTCTTGTTTATTTTTTCTGCCCCCCCGTCCCCCGTCCCATAGGAAGTGGAGTTTCCCCAGGAGCTGATAGACAGACTGTCCCACAGTGAAATCCACAGCATCAGCGACCTCCAGCGGCTACTGGACATTGAATCCGTAGGTAAATTCTGCCTCTTGATACTTTGATCAAAAGAACCACGTTATTTTTTTTAAATCCTGATGCCTTAGATGCTATTGTTGATGTGACAACACGCACCAAAGGGCGGTACTAAAAACAGCTGCACCATGATCAAATAAGCGGTAGGCTATGCCTGTAGAATCATAATCTGTTGTTGAATAACTTTTTAAAGATAGCCTTCTTTGTAGTACACTTTAATACTCCCTGGTATGGGGAATTTCCATATATATTTGCCCTTGTCAGGCAACATAAGATGAATGCCAAATGACTATTACATAAATGTATACAAAGGTCAAATCTAAAATAATAATGACTGGAAAGTATTGAACCTTTGTGGCTTTTTTTATGTGCTGGCTGGATAGGTGAATAATGAGTAATAATTAGTCATAGAATCAACCGATATGCTGCTAACATTAATGAATCCACTTATGCCTTACAGCTGAAATAGAGTAGGTAGGAGCAAGTCTTTGAGTGACATTTGATTAACAAGTAGAGACTTCCAATCCTGGAGGTTTAGTGGATTAAAAAAACAAACAGGAATACTTGTTGTTTTGGACTTTCTGCTATGTACATTCATTAAAATGTAATCAGTAAAGTTTTAACTCCAAAGCACTGCCCAGGTGAGATCTGTGCCAAGTGCAGCCCTGGCGTGCGTGACAAAGCAATAACTGCAATAGGTGCGTCTACTGTACACATGTGACAAAGATGGACTTTCACTGGCAAGCACTTTTTATGCATATTCTTCAGCTGCCGCAATAAACTGGCTTTAAAGCAGCGAGACTGCCACATATGTTGCCCTGTAAAAAGAGACAGCGGATTGCAGGTCAGGCGGGTTTCTCCAGCTTCAGGTTCTTGGAGGTGCTGCTTCATCTGTGGTGGGGGTCCGGTCTGTCTCAGGCTGTCTTAGATTAAGTTACAGGGTGCGCTGGAAGAAGCTGTTTGCGTTCACATGAGACTCTATTTACACAGGCTCTGGCCATATATCAAATTCAGGGCTCTCCCTAAAGATTTGATGATGGAAATAGGTAATTACTAAATGTGCTTTAACCGTCCCAAATGATGTAAGCTACGTTACTGGTCATAGCTCATTAGTAGCCTCAACACTTAAATCCAGCAAAGGACCAGTCTTTCACTCAAGTATTCTCCTGTTTAACCACCCTGTTGCTTTTTTGATGGACGATTCAATTAGGACAAGTAATAGCTTGTGTGTTTTAATGTATTTAATTCACAATCAAACCAACCTGTACTCCACAACAGGGTTCACAGCACTTTATGCTGAGACCAGAATAGATCTCCACAGGGCCTCTAGCATGAGAAGAGGTGTTTATAATTGAATTAACATGTCTTTCTTCAAACAGAGGAATGTTTTGCAGGGTAACAGTAGTAGGCTGATTATTATTACGAGGACATAAATCTGTCTGACGGCCAGCTTGGCGGCCCAGGCCAGCCCATTAAAAGACCTTTGACGCCAGCCTAAGGGGTATTTTCAGAGCTTTTGTTGCAGATGGCCAGGACAGTAAAGCTACCAGTATAGGCTGACCTGTACATGGTAGCATTTCAACTAGGGAAGCGGAAAGGAAAGGCTTACATGAGGTGTTGGTTTAAACCTTTGAACATTTGCACCTGGAGGAACTAACACAGGAAATCCTCAATTATTTTTGTTTTAGTTACTATCATATTATTTTCTCATTATTTTATATTGCTGTCCCTGGAAGGATGACTTTATAATTCAGTTAGGAAGTATACGTGTTGGGATCATTGTTAGGCCTGCAGGGCTTATCTCGCGGCTGTGTGTTTCATTTAGTGCTGCTTTGCTCAGTCATGTCTATATACACACGTCCGGCGAGGATGGTGTTTGCAGCTTGACTGACAGATGAGATGACCCCACTGAAGTCTGCAGATGGCTGTCTGGCCCCTGAGGTGCTCCACTCCTCACTTTTTCTCCTCTCTATCCCAGTCTAACTCCTTCAGTGGCCCCCCGGCCTGCCTGCCTGCCCTTATCTCTCTCAGTGAAGGACTTTGACAGAAAGGGAACCTGACTCTTGGCAGGGGGCAGAGATTGGAGGGAGGGGGGGGGGGGATTCTGGAGGTAGTGTTCCTGCTATACTTCACTCAGAAAGCCCGCACGTTGTTGTGCATCCTCCTTTGTTTTTTGTGGCAAGCTGGCACAAGGTGTTTACCTCCATTACAGTTGGCAGCATGTAACTGTTGACAATTCAGAAACAAGGAGGGGAGACAGAGTAAGAGAACTATGGAGGCACTTATCACAAGACGTAAACAACATGTTGGCTTATTGTACAAGTCGAGAATGAAAGAAAGAAGGAAGAGAGAAAGAGAGGAAGAGGAGCGAAGCAAGGGAGCCGAAGTCCTCAGTAAATGGATAGAGTCATTTAAAGTCATAAAAGCCTGATTCATGGCAAGAGACTGTCCTCTCTTTCTAGTCTCAGTTTGAAAAGTTATAACTGCTAAGTCACCTGGAACCAACAGAGGAGCAATCCCCTCAGACTTTCTATTGATACCTCTCATTATTTGTCTTTTCTTGCCTAATCACTCTGATTGTCTTTTCCCCCATGTTCCTCCTTTGAACGTTAAGAACACACTCAAAGAATGCTTCTTTTATTGTGCTGAGAAAGGACTCTGCAGTCTATAAAGGACTTCTTTATACCCTCCCTCCCTTTCTCCTGTCCGCTCTGACACAACCTATCTCTGGGTGGTCACTGGTGTGACACCCTCCCTCACTCCCATCCTCTTCTGACAGGGGGAGATGAAAAGAGGGATAGGTGTGGTGGAGAGAGGGACAGTGGGAGTTTTGTCTGTGACCCGTAGTGTTAAAAGGTCGTCAGGTAGGAAAATCATCCAGCTGTAACAATGAGTCTATGTGACTGTGCAGACAGTGTGGGCGTGTTTGCACATTCATACAGTAAGGGTATGTGTCTACTGGCCTGACTGACTGATAGCTCTGCCCTTTAACACAAGGCCTCAGATGGAGTCAACACTTCCTTTCTGTGGACCTTTGGTCCTGGGTCGCTGGCTGTCTGACTGACGGCACCACAGGGTAGAAGGACAATTCCATCCACTCTCACTGAGGGTCAGACCTGGAACAAGAAGGCAACCTAAAGCAAATAAACAACCAGTCCCAGAGGTGGATCATGTATAGGTAGAGAAAATCCCTTCAGATGACTGGTCAGAGCACAAAGGAGCTGGATGAGGGAAAGTGTTTGCCTGTGGCTAAGCTTTGTTGTGCTGGTGTACATTGGGTTTTGAAGGATAATCAGAGGAGTTGTGAGTGTGTCTTTATGTTAATTGTACAGGTGTATGATTGTGTCAGCCAGGTGGGTTGGTATGCTGTACCTACAGACAAGCAGACCAACCCACTTAGCAAACAGTCTGCTCTTAGGGAAAGGGCAGTGTGCTGCGAACATGCTTTATCGCTTTATAGCTCCTCTGGCACTCTTCTGTAATTCACCTCATATTCTGGGTGGGGACCAAAACAAGCAAGCTTTATCAGATGACCATGACTGTGAATAAGCTGAGCTGGCTATATTAGACTGGAGTTAGGGAGCCTTAAGGAGCTACCACTGTAGCATAAAAAAACATGTACTTTTCCAAGCTGCTGAAAGATTGAAAAAGCAAACATTTTTAGGTAAATGAGAGACACAAAACCACTAATTAGGTGCAGGGATAATGGCAGCTGAGTACCACCTGTCAAATGGCCACTTTAGTCCACCGTGTGTCTGTGAAAGCTGGTTGTTTTCGAGGGAGCATGCTGACTCACCTGCGTCTACATACTTTATTCCAGCTGGGAAAGTTCAGCTAAATGAGTCAGTGAGGCTGACACACAAAGCTTGCAATTACATCCAGGTCTGTGTAATATGTGTCTCCTAACCGTACCGTGCATACTCTGTACTGTTTACCTCCATTTTTGACATCATCATGAACCGCAATGTTAGCCAGCAAGCACATTGAAAGGAAACCTATCCTTTCAAGGAATCAAAGCATGTGTTACATAAAACAAGCAGCCAGCAGGAAGTTACCGTCTCATTATGGTCGTGTGACTAACCATCACATTTTAAGCTGTGTATGGGGTATATAAAACATCAATACTGGATTACATCCAGCCTGTCCGGTGAGGCCTAGCAAGCCACCCACCACATAACACTGTTAAAGCTGCAGGGGTGATCAACAGGCTCATGGTGTTGTGTTTGCTTCCTTCTTGTGTGTCATCATTAACGTGGCTGCCTTCTGTTTTGATGAGGTGCGGGAAACAATGTTATCGAGGAGCCCAAGCACCACAAGCACCACAACCCCCACAAGAACTACTCCCGTCAACATGGTTACTACAATGACCTGAAGAGCTCCCAGCTTCACAGCCGACGCAAGAGGAGCATTGGTAAGTCTGAATGAATACTATATGCTTAACTGTGCCACTTTAGAGTTTGCATCATGATTACATTTGGAACTGTACACATCACAACTTATTGCAGTGTCATACTGCCTAAAAATAACCTCTATCTCCCAACTGACGTTTGAGTTCCCAGGAGATGAAACCGATCACTTTACACTTAGATCAAACAAAGCTAATGGTTAGTGGCTTTTATATGGCCTTTTTGTGGATAAAAGAAACCCTAATGAAGATGTCTACCCAGTAGTTATGGCAATAAAGAAATCATGAGAAACCAGCCTGATGTGTGAGGTTGAAGAGGACGTCTGACACGAAGCCTTTTAATTGGCCACAGGGTTGCAGATCTAAGACACACGCGTCAGGAGAGAAATATATCCTTGAGCGTGGAAATTCCAGGCATTCAGGGCTCAAGTTGCAGCTCGCCTCAGCTCTCAGTCAGATTTCTTCATAAAACGCCACGCGGTACGATATGTGATCGAGGCGTGGAGAGAACCATGTCGTTTGCAGTGTGTGTGTTAGGACTGGCTGCGTGCGTTTCACATCCCTCCCAGCAGTTCAGCATTTAAAGCAACACAGGGTAACGTGGCTGCTCGTATTTCATGTGTGCACACCATATCATAAGTGTATGACACCGTATACCGTTTTGGCAGCTGTCCACAAAATCCCTCACGTTCTGTGCATGCACATAACATCTTTACGATATAATGGTATCTTACTGTACGCTCTCTGTCACATCTTTAGGTTTGAGTGCCTGTCAGAGCATTACATCTGAAATGAATGTTTACTGCCTTCCTCTTTTCACAACGACCAACAGGGTCAAAGGTCATTCATAGATTTCCCAGTGGCGGACATAAAGGTTTTCTGGCCTAGTCACGCTGCATTAACCCCAGTGAGGGATCTGAACAAAGGAGCAGTTTCTTTCCGTCTCACAGACTTGATCCCAAAGCTCCTTAGTTGATATGAGATCAGCTTTTGGATAGCTTGTCTTCTTAACAGCCTTGAACGAGGTTGGGTGTGATCTGAAGTAAGACAAACAGCTCCCACATCAAGTGAGTCATCACATAATGATCAGTGAAGGAATGCATAAAGCAGCTGGGAGTGAAAAAGAGAGATTAAAACGATACATCAGCACGAGCATGCGTTCGGAAAAATGTGTCACCGAACAGTCATGCAGACCACGCACTAACTCCTCCTCCTGCCTGTTTTGCTTCCAGCAGAGGAGGCGGTCCCGGCGGTGTGTAAGACGCGGACGGTGATCTACGAGATCCCCAGGAGTCAGGTGGATTCCACGTCTGCCAACTTCCTGATATGGCCGCCCTGTGTGGAGGTGAAGCGCTGCACAGGCTGCTGCAACACAAGCAACATGCGCTGTCACCCTTCCCGTAAGCACCACCGCACCGTTAAGGTAAGACACACACACAAACACACACACACACACACACACACACACACACACACACACACACACACACACACACACACACACACACACACACACACACACACACACACACACACACACACACAGTCCAACAGGCGAGTTCATGCAAGCTTGTCGTGCCTATATCCTTACATTCTCTCCACATACTGCATTGCAAAGTTAAACACACACAGTATCACAGTCACCTCATTTATTTCACAAATCTTTTACTCCGTTGCTTTCCCTCTCACCAGGTAAGTAAACCATTTGAGAGGTAAGGTTGGGTTAACCTGCCTTCTGTCACGCTCTTTTCCTCCACTGACTCCCTTTAGTTCAATCTACCCCTCTCCTCTGAGCCTCCTTGGCGAATACCCAAATGGTGTCCCCCTTACCTCCGCTGCCCCCTCCCTTCTCTCCTTCCATTACAGCCGATCACCACCCTCTCTCCTCATCACTCTATCCCATGTTTGGCGAGAAGCCAAAGCGGCTATGCCAGGAGGGAGAAGGAGAAGAAAAGATAGGGGACAGGAAGGGAGGGTTGTTAGCACCTTCAGCGAGGACATCTGTTGGAAGGGTTGACCAGATAGGGATGCTCCTTCCAGATATGAGAGAGACTTCCTATTCCTTGAGAATACCTGAGTGTCATCGTCTATTTCTCAAGCATTCCTCTGCCCACCGTTTTATTCGGCCCTCTGTCTTTTCTGTAAGCAGAGAGCCTGGAGGAGACAAGGTGACAAAGAGAAGGAGAGAGGGATTGAAGGGGGTAGCACTGTTCTCAGAGGCTCTTTGGCATCGCTAGCTCGAAAACATGTCCTTCTGTTCAGGATCAGAAGAGACACCGTGGCTGGAGCTGCAGTATTTACACTACAGACTGTTAGCCAGTGCGCAGCTCTGTTTGGAGGTATGGGAGTTATGTGCTCTGTTTTGTAAGAGTAAGAGACAACCGGTGGATAAACAGGATAGCCTGGAACACTCTGGTTGTGTTTGTGTTTCTCTTTGAGTCTATCTCTGGACATTTTGTCTCTTTAATCATCGTGATCCATGGGCACTGGGACATCATGTCTTGAAGATGCCGCCTCAATATATACAGGCAGAGTAATAAAACAAATACCAACCCTGCCCGCCTTCTTCCTATCAGCACACTGACACAAGTCACGGAGATTTCAATATGGGAGGAATCTATTTTCTTTCAATCTTTTAGTTTTAGAGAAACAGTAAGAAGGCTATTGTAGGGCACAGGCACTGCATCCAGGGCACAGGGTTTATGGTCAGAGATGCTGACTCACAGTGCAAGAGCTCTGTTATACAGCACAACCTTGTGTGTCTGTCTGTCTGCATGCAAGCGTGTCTTTTTCTCCATCTGCCAGACAGTCAATAGGAGCTCTGTCTGCTATTACAGTGACTCGGATGGATGGAGAGACAGTGATGACGCCGAACAAGACACTATAAGGCCACTTTCAGCTATTGATGGAATGTTGTGTTCCATGCGACTTTGTCCGTGTCCCCCTCATGACACTGAGGACAAAATGAGCTCACAGACTTGAGAGGGTCCTTCAGGCGTGTTGGGCAGAGATTCATGAGGGGCGATTTCCATGTGGTTCCAGCCGCGGGCAAAGGGTGGGGGCCGAGAGACGTCCCTGGAAAGGTCATTGGTCAGGGCTCTCCCCGGTCAGGAGACATTCACCACATTGTGTGAGAGAAACATTGTCTGAGGCCAAGTTTTTTTCCTGTCTGTCCTCTCATTGGTCTGAATAGGGGTTCAGTTTGGGCTTCTCCCTCCATTTATTAGAAAGCTAAAAATGTTGCCCGTGTACCCTCGGCCTGACTTGTTTTCCTTCTGCTAGCCAAGGATGGGAAAAGAACACATTCACTGTGTGTTTCTTTCCATCTCATGCCACTATGCATTTGTCCAAATTCACCTTTATTTATTTATTCCCCCTCTTCTGTTTCTCTCACTCTTTCTTTTTTTATGGACCCAAAAGAAGAGAACGGGTCTGTGCAGGCCCTGTACTGTACAAGCCTGTCCTGTTCAGTGGCTGGGTAATAAAAAAAAGCCTACTTTAAATAGGACTAGCCTGAGGGAGGAGAAGGGGCAGATCTTAAAGACACTCTTGGTCTCCATATCCCTCTCTTTTCATTCTTTTGCATTTCTATTAAACCTATTTTGGTCCAACACTGTCATAGGTCTGTATATAAATCTTGATTTGCATGTGTGGGTGGCATTTACATTGTTGCTTTTGTTTATTCCACATGTCTTACCATGGGAAGGTCACAGTAACTGAGAATGGTGTCGTGATAAAAGCCATTTATAGCAGGTTTGGTATTCATCAAGATTAAGTGGAGAGTTAACGATGGAAGGAGAGACAGAACGTTGGGGAAACAGAGGGGAGAGGCAGCCAGAATTCTTAATGAGTTTTTGTGAGTTCAGACTCTATCATCCCAGCATTCCTTTAACTCCTCCTTCAACCTTATCCCACCTCCTTTTGCACTTTTACTCCCCAAAGCGCAGCATCTTGGCGCTCCCCTTTTTTCTTCCATCGAAGTAATTCCTCAACATTTCTTCTCATTTCTCTTTTTATTTTGGTGTTTTGTCTTTGAAAGCTTGCAGAACATTTTGGCCATTTTGCCAGTGTTTCTATAACTTAGTCTTCTTAGTCAAATCTAGAATCTATGAAAATAAACTTCAAAATTGGCATATTATCGGTGTTTTGCTGGCATAAGACAACCTCTCTGAACTCCCTTTTTCTCTGTTGGTTGTTAAACTTTCATCTCCCTTCTCTCATACTCTCTCTTGTCTTTTTATCAATCCCTTCTCTTGTATTCCTTGTTCTTCCTCCTCACATCTTCCTGTCTGTCTGCTGACAGCTACAGCTGTGTCTAGTATTTCTAAAGGTTTTTTCAGGCACTTTTTGCCCAGAGTCTTGCTAAACGAACAAACTCCTAAAACAACATGTGGTTTTGGAAAGTCAGGACTTAAGAGACTAGTATACAAGGTGTTTCTGTGATAACATGAGAGTGAGGCAGCAACATTTGACGTGTCTGCGCATTCTTTTGCACACTATTCCTTGTGCGTATGAATGTGTGTGAGTGTCTGTGTGTGAATCTTAATGCCTCTCTGTTTGTTCTTGCTATGGGGCTGATTAAACAGCCCATGACACAGGCAAAGAATGGAGCTGTCACTCATCCTCTCACTCATTAACTCTTAAAGCTTCTGCAGTACATGTGGTCTCTCTGTTCATTATATTCATTCACAAACCCTCATGAGCAGACACAGAAACTATCCCATTTTATATTTGAGATTACGTTTTCTAGGACATCCTAAGGTTTTCTTGCACAAAATGTACAGGAGGTCATATTTTAGTTACAAGGATATCAGGAGAGTTCTTGACAATATGGAAAATGAAAAGAGAGGGAGAAGAGAAGTTGATAAAGCACTATTAAAGTGTTTTTGTTGTAAATGGCATTTAGATGTTCTAATTTAACATGTACCAGTAAAAAAAGCCAGACATGAGAACCAACCCTTTTAATTGGCTTTATGTGGCAGCCTAAATCTAATCAGTATGGCATCATTTGCCAACAATAATGTGCAGTTAATTTCATTTGGTTTGGTTTAGCTACTGGAAAGTTTTGATGGCCATTGAAGCAAATGTACAAGTATTTTCAGGGGTCAGAGAAGGTCATGAGTGCACATCTGTGTAAACCAAAGTAGGAGATTGTGTGTGTGTGTGTGTGTGTGTGTGTGTGTGTGTGTGTGTGTGTGTGTGTGTGTGTGTGTGTGTGTGTGTGTGTTAGAGAGAGTTCTCTATGTTATGGTACATAAACTGGCCCACCGCAGTGAGGGGACAAGGCCATTTGTGTGAAGCGGCAGCAAGAGGAAGACGGGCCACAGAGTAATGAAGTGTTGATGGCCGCTGGATCAAAGTGGAGGCTGACAGAGGCCAGGCGGATATAGCCACAGTGCTGAGTGTGGGGGTTCACACATCTCCCTGCACTGGCCCTGGCCCCGACCCCATCACACACACACACACACACACACACACACACACACACACACACACACACACACACACACACACACACACACACACACACACACACACACACACACACACACTGACAGCTACCTCAGCGACAGTGGGTCAGGTCCGGGTGTTGGGGGAAGCAGTAGCTGTAGCCCTGCGGTTATGTGGGACCCTGACTTACGGGGTGTTTCATAAATAAAAGACAGTGTGACGGTGATACAGTGAGCATGATTTATGATCATCTGAGGGGTCCTGTGGATATTACGTGAGTGGGGGTTATATGGGAATGAAGGGGGCCCCCTGTTTGAAGTCCTTTGCAGCTGTGAATTATTTTCCCCTTTGATTCACTCAGCTCTTCTACTAGATGAAGCATGAGGTGAGTGAGTTTGTATGTGTGTGTATAAATGTGTGTGTGGTGTGCACGGCGGGGGTTGCCGGGCGGGTCAGAGACCATGGGAGCGTCCTGAATACGCCGGAATTTGGAGAGTTTGGTTTCTGCCACAGCGGCTGGAATGTATCAGCTTTAGCAGGAAAAGTAGCAGCCTTATTTTAATCATATTTTAGTTCATTTCTGTATTTTCTTTCACTCCTCCTCTCCTGTCCTCCCTTTCGCTCTTCCCCTCTGACTTCATCCTCCCTCTCCACCTCTCTTCTCCGCTCAGTCTCGGAGTCTGATTGTCTGTTATGTGAAATAGTTGTTCACTCCCTCCTCCACAGAGCCATCTCCCACTCTCTAATTTGTAACGTCTTTCTCATATTGTTCTATAAACTCATCCTGAAAAGTAATTGGTAAGATTATACACCTTTGAGCTCTTTGATATTTGATATTTAATGATGGTTATTTTGGTCTCTGAGGGGAAGGGAAGCACAACACACGATGTGGTCAGAGCAAGATAGACGCTCACATCCAGAGAGGTGGGGGGAGAGTGGTTCCATGAAATGTCTTTATGGCATTGCAGGCCAGTGCCTGATGTGATAAATGCCCTCCTTGCTTCCTCTCTTCTCCACACACGGCCTGTGATAACCCCGTCCACGGCAGTGTGTTTGTATTGTGGGGGTGGGGGGTTGAATCAGAGGGCAGCAGCAGGTTTTCTCCGCTGTCTGATGTTCAGTCTGGGGTTTGCCCTTCTCCCTCTGCCGATCATCCTGCCTTCGTCCAAGTGTCATTTTGACTGTTCTTGATTTCAGACAGACATACAGAACGTTTCTTTACGTTCCTCAAACTTGCTCAGAGTTGTAACATCTCAACAAGAGCTCTTTGTTTGCAGGGCACAGTCTCTTGGGGCTCCTTGCTCCTGATAAATGAAATGCCACCCCACTCTGCCTCATTTCACCCCTCCATTCTCCATTAACACACATACATTCCTATTTATTGTTGCCTGTTCCAGTTCATGAAGGCTTGCGGTGCACATCCCCAACCCTGATGTGTTTTCCTTGGAAAGCCAGAGGAAAACTTTCCCCTCCATCATGCTCTCATCAGTACTCGGTGCTAAGGGAATTCCCAATTAGTCCGACCGGGACAATCGGCTCCATGCGGAGCGCTGCGTAGACACTGAGGACAAACCAAAGGGAGTGCACCTTCTAGAGCCCCCTGCCTCACCCCAATCCTGTGGATCGGATATCATTCGGGGGGGGCTCTTTCTCAGGGCCCCAGATTTCTAGGGAGTTAAGTTTGGTTTGATTTATGCAAAGAGAATGTGGGGCCCCTTGTCGTCGCATGGGGTCTCTTTCTGATGTATTTTTGAAGTCATTGACTCTGCAGAGGATAAGAAGCCAGTGTTCTGCCTGTGTGGCGGAAAAGTGTCTCTAAATGGAGGAAGGGAGAGTTAAATATGGATGTAAAGTGGAAAGACAACCTTTCATGTAGCGTCAACATTTTCTCCTAGCACAGGAAACAGGATAGAAAGAGAAAGAGAGAGTGTTGACAAAGTGGGCAGTGCAGTATTAGAGCACAGTTATACAGGAGAGTGTGTGTGTTTTTTGTGTGTGTCCTGCAGGGAGTGTTTCTAACCCTGCTGTGTGAGGGGCAAGAAGACAAGCCTACCGCTGGGCCTCTCATCAAGGGGGCCCATCGCTTTATCCGTCTGTCAATAGCTGTTTGTTTGGCCAGAAGAGTTTGGGTATGCATGTGTGTGTTAGTCATTAGGATCAGCCTCAGTAGTAAGTGTCAGACATTGCTGAGTCTTTTAGCTTCTCGCTGGCTGCTACTGAACCCCCCCCCTCCCCTAGCTCACAGATTCCCGAAACCAGTGACAGCAGAGTCGTCCCAAGAGACAGCTGCATGTTCCATCTCTGAGTCAAAGCATTTGACTCAATATTAGATAAGTGGTTTCCTGGGATTTTCTTGGGAATTATTGTCATTCCGTGATACTGTCTGCACATTTGGTAGATAACATCAAACATTTGATAACTTTTCTAGCTGTCCTGTCAGCTTTAGTGTAATAAAGTTCCTCAGTTAGTAGGCCAGAAACTAAATGTTAATAGGTAACACTTGAATGTCATCTAATGCTGGTCATGATCATGGTCAGTCCTCCCCCTTCCTTAAATAGCACCCTCTGTTTGCACAAACACGCACGCACGCACGCACGCACGCACGCACGCACGCACGCACGCACGCACACACACACACACACACACACAGATGCACACTTTTTTCCTAATGAGAGTGATGGTCCACCTTCCTGCGCAGAGTTCCTGCATGCTCTCCCTCCCTCTCTCTCTTTCTCTCTCTGTCAGGGCCCGATAACAGCAACCCAGACACCATTGTCCTCTGTTTGCTCGCTGCATACCTTCTCTGCTTGCTTACCCTCTTTTATATTCCCTCTCTTCTTTCTCTTTCTCTTCTGCCCATGGAAAGAAACTGTTGCAATGGAGCGGCTGGTGAACCCCCCCCCCCCCGGTCCCTGATTTCAGTTTTAGACTCCCCAGATGACCCTCAAGCCTTAGTTACAGTGCTGACATGAGGCAGCTCAAGCTGTGCGAATGTGAACAATATACTTTGTTTTATCAGACAGAGATTGGTATGTTCGTTTGTCTGCATGACTAATTCACCACCGAGAGCCAGCCTTGGCGGTGTGCCATCACAGGATAGAGGAAGAAAGCCTCTCATCAGTTTTGGCCTTCGTCTGTTCATGTGTGAGCCTCATGCTGTCTGCAAAATCGTGTTGTTCATAACACCAGAGAGCGCTGGGAGATTGTCGGCCAATATCCTCTCTCGTGCAGCGACCAGGAAGATGGGTGAAGCAGGGGATATTGTTTCCATGTGGCCCCCAGGCCCTCAGTGGTGGATGAGAAGGTTACCTGCCCTTGGCACTCACATCAGAGAGGGAAAAGCATGTAGCCACCTCCCCTGAGTTACACAACAAGATCATCATAACCTCCACGCAACCTTCCCTATTCAGCTTTCATCTAAGCTTTAATCAACATAGCCTATTCAAACCCCCTCCGAGGATTGGTCCTTTTCATTTCTAGATATTTGGTGGGAAGTGGAGGTCAGCCCTGTTGTGTTAAACTGAGAGGGTGTTAGCTGGACTGAAGGATAGGAATTCCTGCATTGCTTTAGTGTTTGTTAGATTCAAAGGGCTGCTTTATGGGGTTCTACTGCTTAGATTAAACTATGTAAGCTGTATTTCTTGCATGCACATGTTGAGCAACACTTTCCCTAGCCCATGAGATGCATTAACGTGGTTTATAAGCAGCCTACATGTCGGAACAAGGCGAGGGCGTTTAGGTGTGTGTCTGTCTGGATGTGGATGCTCCAGGCCTGGAGCAGGGGGGGATCTCCCAGCCTCTCTTCTCCTGCCAGGGTAAACCTTCCCTGGGCCTTAAGGCGTATACCGCTCCCCCCTATCCTCCATCTCTCCTCTCCCATTGTTTGAACTTGCTTGGACAGGGTCATACTCTCCATTCAGTATTTACACACCTGATCAACAGCACATACAGCACAGCGAGCGGAACCCAATGCATCAGCCCCTGAGGAATGCTGCCGTCACACTTCAAACACGACAAGGCGAAGCGATGGCTGGTGTTTTTTTATGAATCGGTTAATGAAAGACTCATCAGTCACAGTGCTACGCCTCCCGATGTTAGCGAATGGGCAAAGAGTGTGTGCATTCATTGAGGACACACAGCGAAGAGTAATGATGGCGCTGGAGATGGCTCTGTAGCTAACCGTATCTCTCTTCCTCCCTTCAGGTAGCAAAGGTGGAGTACGTGAGGAGGAAACCCAAGCTGAAAGAGGTCTTTGTGCGGTTAGAAGACCATCTGGAATGTGTGTGCACGTCGCAACATCACGTTGTGGAGCACTCAGATGCAGAAACAGGTAAATATGACCCTTAAAGTTATGAATATCTCCTTGTTACGTAATTACAAATAGTCTCCAGAAAAAAACTGAGGCTGAGTTTGGTGCCTGAGAACCCCCGTCACCCCTATATCATCATGCATCATCCTGCTTACCTGCCTTCCTCTTGTCTGTCTGACGGTCTTTCTCTCTCTGTCTGGCTCTTTGGCTTTGCACTGGATGACCTTTTTCTATGATAGCTTCCAAACAGGCAGACACACCTGTGAACTGGCCTGCTATTGCAAAACTGTAAAGCTAGTGCGTTTGTGCCTTGTTAGACAAGGTTGTGTGTGTGTGTGTGTGTGTGTGTGTGTGTGTGTGTGTGTGTGTGTGTGTGTGTGTGTGTGTGTGTGTGTGTGTGTGTGTGTGTGTGTGTGTGTGTGTGTGTTTGTTAAGGGAGTGTGTCCAAAGGCTGCTTGGCATGACAGCAGGTAAATCCGACAGTGCCTTGATCTGAAGCCTTTCTCTCCCTGGGAGCAGATAAGCGCTGATGTGTGCTGATAAGGCATCTGAAGTATTTATAGTGTGTCATATCTTTGCACTCTCTGCTTCTGTCCCAGGGCTGTTGTGCCTCTCTCTGTATCATAAACCCTGCTTCTTGCTCTTAACCCTCCTTCCTATCCACCCTTCCCTGACTTTGTGTTTTCAGGCCACCGTAGGGCTAAAGGTAAAAAAAGGAAACCTAAAAAGCTAAGGCCCAGCAAGGATTTATTGGCGACATAATAAAGTTGCACTCAATACCCAAAGTCCACTGGAGAGCTGTGAAGTGAACAGGTAGGACTTTAGCACCACAGAGTCCTGTCACCTTTTAGGCACTGCAATGGCCCAATTAGGGCATAAGGGGGCCTGCCAATCACCTTCACCAATCACATCACAGCCAATCAGTGTGAGAAGAGGGAGGGCTAAAGGGCCAAATGCTGCATGCTGATTTTGTGTTGCCTGCTAAGCATGCCCACCGCAAACATATGGTTTTTGTCACAGTGTTGTGCTTGCTATGGTTGTGTGCACTGTTTTGGTTTTGTTATACAGTAACACCCACTGTATGTCATTGTCTGTTTCACTGCTTAAAGATCACTTTTGCTTTATTTTGTTATCATAAAAGTCTTCTTGCCCATCTCTCTGTCTTTTAAACATGATGACACATATGCACATATTTTTACTTGACATAATGACGTCTGGTCTGATCACGGACCAGAAATGTGGAGGATCATGATTCATAATATTGTGGGTTTTGTGTCTGTTGTGTCAAGTTATTCAAAATGCATGAACACAATTATGGCACAACACGTATTTAAATTGGATGTCTTGTCCGGATGAAACCCTTGTGTTGTTATGTGTAAAATTGGGGTACTAACGTCAGCTTTCTCTCTCTCACAGTGGACGTGAGGTGAGACCAATCAGAACAAGGGACTTCAGCGTGGGAGGGACCTAAATAGTGGATGCCACCAACAGGACACCTGCTCTGTCCTTTTCCCCATTGCCATGCAACCTTTGTTTTAAAAAAACTATTTTTTTTCTGCTAAGACAACAGACTGAAAAAAAGACAACAGACACAAATAAACCATACCAAAGGTGCTTTGTTAAAAACAGTAACCAACAGTGATGATGACTTCCTCTGTGGTACGCCACCTAACCGACAACTGAACCCTGCCGCTGATTAAGAGAGAAAGATGCTGTAGCCCGGGCAAGGCAGGAAGAGGCCGAAGGGAGATGATGAAAGGGATTTGTGTTGAACATTTGAGATTTTCTTTGAAGAAGACACACAACAGAAATGGCTATGAAACTGTTGGATCAAGCCTTGGTGGGAATCTGGTGCACAGACTCCAAAACAGCGGTGGATGACCTCCAGCTGGGCAACATTTAAGTGCCCTGCCCTGTTTAAATGACTTTTTTCATACATCGTAAGAAAAAAAGAGAGATATAGGAACAAAAACATTGGAAAGAGAGAAATAGAGAGACACATGGAGGTGTTTGCTTTTTCAAAAGACTCAAACATTTTTTAGTATTTGGATGTTTGCTCTGATTTAAGAGGAGATCTTCTCCGAGACCCTTGAGATCTGTGACTTTGCCCACTCTGCTATGTACAGTTAAATTTGAAAAGGACGATGCGCCGCTACTTACAAACTATTTATATGTGTGGCCGTTTGCCTTCTATCTCTTCCAGTACAAAATAAATAACAAAAAATATGTTTAAATGATTTTGAAGACATGCAAGAATTCAGGTTTTTGTAACCATCAGTTTCACAATCTCAACGTCATTTGTTTTTTTTAGTCAATGTCATTGTTGTCATCCATGTTTCTTATTATATTACAGTATATCTGAATGATGTCAAGTCTTGTAAATGGTTTGGATTTATGTATGAAAGGAGGAGATGTGAGAGTCAGTACAGGAAGATGCTTTATTTTTGTTATGAAATACATTAAGCTTACTTATATCCGAGCAGGAATTATGCTTATTTCTTTTGTTGTGGTTGAATGCCTGTATTTAATCCGTTGGAAGAGATGCAAAAATGTGGGCAGGGGGGTAAGATAGAAGTGGGTCTGCCAGTGTTTTTTGCATCAGAGGCGTGAAGACACAAACATGGCAAATATGTTACAAGTGGCATTTCACAAAAGCTTTCATACAGCACATTTAACTGGAGCAATTATTGTGCACCTGAATCATATCCTAACCAATAATGAGTTAGGATAGATATATTTTTTCTCTTACACAAGCCTTAATCGAACCCATTACACTCTGAACACTGATAAGAAAGATTCCTGCCCGCTCTGCTTAGCAACCACACATGTTTTTCACGCAATGAGCAAAGTCCACCTTAAAGAGGGAATGAGCAAGCAAAGCAAATCGACAAGCGCATGAATGGGTTCCTTGTTTGGTTAGGCCTTACTCCTCTGTTGACAGGAGAACAAATCTCAGATCGTTACACCCTGTGAAGGTACTCACACCTTATACCGCCACATACCATGGGGACAGATGATGATGAGTGCTCTGAAGCAGCCTGAAAACAGTACAGTGCTGACCCGAACCCGTGCCCCTATGGAGCAAACAATAACTTCCCTAACAGTTCCCTGTAACGGTGACAAATGTGTAACCAGGCCAACACAGTACAACAAAAACAACTGTCGGACAGTGTTCAAATGAGGAAATGAAAGGCGAGAGAGTGATTAGTGCAAGTCAAAAGATAACGTTTAAAAGAAAAGATGGCAGATTTCTCTCTCACACACACACACACACACACACACACACACACACACACACACACACACACACACACACACACACACACACACAGCTTAACTAGCTATCAGTTTATTGGTGCTATATTTATAAGGCTGATGTTTCATCACATTTACATTACTGTAAGATAGTGTTCTCAGTTAAGGGACCACGCTTAAAGTTATTTGATTAAAGACAATACCATTCCCCTATCTCTAAGCGTTCATTACTTTTTTTTTAGGACTTTCCTTGAATAAAGACTTCAATAATCATAATTTATATATTTATGTTTTCAACAATAAATATATTTCTGGCTAAGGAATTGTTCACTGAATGTTGAGTCCCATAATTTGTATGTGTTGTATCTAAGGATGGTGTATAGAACAATATATCATGCAGCACGAAACACACTGAGAGCACAACATTGGGTTTTGAAATAAGAATTAAGTATGGGCATAATCTTAAACTGAACAGTAGCCTATAAGAAAAGCGAACAACTAAGCGACCCCCCTGCATAAACAAATCCATACAGTATCTGTGTCTTTATTTCTGACAAACTTTATAAAGGTTTTATCGAAATAACGGATACTATTCAGGAATGTAAAACGTATATAGATTATGTGAGTCAAAAAGAGTGTAATCCACATGTGTTGGTGCTGCAAGAGGCTCGACAGAAGCTGGATGTGAAGGTGGTTTATACAGGAAATGTGAGCTTTTCACGGCTTGAAGACTGAGCAGGAGCTGGGCTTTACTCCACGATCTACTCGCAGCAGACGGTAGGTGCTGGGGGCTTTATTACTTTTCCCTGAGCAGCTCACCCTAATCTCAGGGCTAAGGGACATGAAAGTCTCCCTCCTCTGAAGACAGGCAAAACATGAAAGAGAGAAAGGATCAGAGAGACAGCAGCTCTGCAAGCCAGTGGAACGGGATCAAATGAATAAAGTAAAGATAAAAGGAAGAGCCGAGGCCTGATTGATTTTATTGTTTTTTATCTGACATTCACAACTTCATTCACAAGCATGAAGGGGGGGGGGGGATTGAAGAGTCAGTATAGCGTGCGCAGTGTATTGGTTAAAAGAGAGCAATATGTCACGGTGGGGAAAGAGGGTGGAGCACAGGAGAGAGGGGAGAGAATACCCCGAGGAGTGAGAGTGCAAGGGAAAGAGAGTGGGGGGGAAAGAAGAAAAGAGGGGATGAAGTGGACTCAGGATGTGGGTAATCGGCACCACAGCAAGAAGGGCCAGACAGGGCAGCACTAAGTGGACATGCTTTCATAAACAATGCCAGAGGGGGATGAGGGGCAGACAAGGTGTGAAGAGGGCTGCTGAATAGGCTGTGTGTGTGTGTGTGTGTGTGTGTGTGTGTGTGTGTGTGTGTGTGTGTGTGTGTGTGTGTGTGTGTGTGTGTGTGTGTGTGTGTGTGTGTGTGTGTGTGTGTGTGTGTGTGTGTGTGTGTGTGTGTGTGTGTGTTCAGATGAACAATACAAAGGAGGTCTCCCAGTGTGAAACATGGACCACTGGAATTTTGGGCTCTTGCGGAGGGCAAACTGTGATTTGACTACCCACAATGCCCAGGGTCAGAGTTCAGGGTTCAGGGGTTGTAGGGGGGTGGTGTTGCCAAGTGGCGGATGCATTTTAAAAGCTTTAATTATCTCTTCCCATTTCCATGTTTACTGTAAATAAATGCTGCTTTTCTAATTGAATGTATTTGGCCAATGTTGTCCTTATGTTATTTCACCTATCTTATTTGATATAAAACGGATGTTGATGGATGTTTGTTTAAAATACCCTCAGAATCTAACTCGACTACTTCCTTCCCAGATTACAGATCTCGTAACCTTTGCTATTTTACTTACACCCCTCTCTTCCCTCTCCCATCCTCCCCTTCCCTCTTCCCCTCTCTGTCGCCCTGTTATGTTTCTCCTCTCTGCCCCAACCTGTGGCCTCTGGGTTTTGAGGAAAGGCAGAGGACGCCTTTGAAGATGGCGACAGCCAAGTTTGTACGGGGCCACAGCTATGAATGCACGTCTTTGTCCACCTCTCTCTCACGTCTTCATATCCTGCCCCCACTACACTCCTCATCCTCGCTCTGCCCCCCACAAACTCACACGGACACGCTCATGCCCTCGCCGGGGCCCCTATTGCACAAATGACCCCGCTAATTATGTATTTAAGGTATTTGGCTCCTGTGAAAACAGCTTTGGGTTAGCGGTGGAGGCGGTTAGGGGGAGGAGGGTGTACAGGGACGTGGGGTGGTCCATGGTCTCATGGCTATCATTACTGCCCAGCATTTTATGTAAACACTGGATTAGGGCAGCGAGGGTTGATTGAGGCGAGAGGTGGAGGAGGTGGTGGTGGGGTTTGGCACAGGGAAAGTAAAGCGGGTCGCTTGTCCTTCTGAGTCTCTGGTTTCACCCTTGGGTGGCAGTCCCTCAGAAACATTACTTTCATGTTTCACTTCACAAGGGTAATGGTTTATTAGCAACACTGGAGAAATTATATATATTATTTGTGCTTAGAAAATTAATCTCAAGTATGAAGGCATGTTTCCAATAATTCCGGGGTAAATGTAAAGCTTTTACTTTCCACTGAACACAACATGATGTATGTTAAAGTTTGCCTCAATGCTCTGTGGGATTCTAGAAGAAGCAGGACTCATTCATGGCCACCCCAGTTTTTCCAATTAAGTTTTCCCCTTGTTGTCTCTTTGTTAAGATGCTATGTCACAGTCCCATCCCCTCTCTCATGTCTGGGCCACAAGCTGTGAGCAACCCCTCAACGAAACAGCTCTGAAACCTAATCGTTTTGTTTTGAAGCCCCAGGGGAAGGGGATGACTGATGCTTCTGATAGTGCTGAGATGGACAGCAGCCTGTTCGGCCTCTAAGCAGTTACCCATACTGATACAGCACCACTTCAGCACCAGCAACCTGTTTCTGCAACAAGTATGATATGCGTTTACTTAATTTCATTAAGGTTATTCACCTTATAAGTCCTGCACATGTCAAGGAATCACATTCTCACAAGTGGCCAGCTTTATTCACCACAAGTTGGCAAAAGCACACAGGAAACAGCACTAGTCCATTCAACCCAATGCATACAAGGTTTAATGTGAGGAATTCGTTTTCATTCCTCTTAGTCAACTCTGTCTGTATCTCGGGCCAGTGTCAGTGGAGGTTGAAAGAAAGCAACCTGGAAATCCTCAGTAACTGATCCATACGCACCAACTTGCATGTGACTGAATGAGTTTGGCTTCCAACAGGTCTTGTAAAATAGATGAAGCAAGAGAAGCAGGGAGTAAGGAGGGCGTGGCGGAGGAACTACTGGAAGAGGTCTTTGGAGAGAGATAAATCTGGTTCTAATGGGAGCTGAAGTGGGTATGTGTTGTAAATACAAAGGCAGTTGCATGGAGTCATTGCCTCTACTGTATTTGTGTGTGCAGGAGAGGTGTGTGCATGTTTTCCGATGGGAGCGCAGCCAGGGAAGCCAGTTTCCCTTTGCTCAAAAGTTTTTAGATCAAAAGTCTACAATTATAAAGAAGGTTGTTAGCAGTGTTTGGTCTGTGGGAAGAGTGGAAGAAAGCTTGGTATGTGTCACTGCTATTGAGGAACGAGGAGTGTGTGTGTGTGTCTGTGTGTGTGTGTGTGTGTGTGTGTGTGTGTGTGTGTGTGTGTGTGTGTGTGTGTGTGTGTGTTTGTGTGTGTTTGTGTGTGTCCTATTATACGTGTGAGGTCGGGAGTAGCCGGGCCGGCCAACATTCTTGGGCAGCAGTATTATTAACTGTGGTGTAACCATTATCAGTGTTTACTTTGATCCAACCGCCATCAGAGGAGTGATGGACTCAGCTGAACTCTCTCTCTCTCTCCTCTCAGCGATCCTCATCTTTATCGCCATCATGTTCAGGATGTTCTTTACCTCATTATTTTCAACACAAGGAGGTGGGCATGCAGACAGGAGTCTCAATTACTGTAAAAGCTGACTAAGTGATGTGTGTGTGTGCGAGTTCGTGTGTGTTCCAACGAAAACCCTCATAGTCACTGATTCTTCGGATGAAAGCTGTTGAACTGTCTCTGAAGTGACACAGGGCTTAGTGCTCTTCAATGTCCCATATTTCAACAGTGCGATAAGACCACCTAGTTAAAAACCTTACCAGAACACTTGTGAGGAAACACACACACACACACACACACACACACACACACACACACACACACACACACACACAC